TGGACTCTAAAAAATATCAATCGAATTACAGATGAAAGCTAAGTACGTATTTGACAGTCACAATAGGCGCAAAGGGCTCCTAAAGTATAACTAACAGTCACAACTCCAAGCGACCTTCCTCTAATTTAAATGTAATGAATTCACATATCTCTTCAACTCAACGTATATAATGAAATTAAAGGTCATATTGGATGGATTAAAAAGACTCTCATTACTTTAGTCCCTAAGGTACAAGGTAAATGACAATAGACTTTAAATAAGCAAGATGTTTAAAAGGATTGCGTACACATATCCACTCGCTCTAAGTAGCAGTCCCCAGATGCCAATGTTTCAATCGAATTAATATCAATCCTCAATGGTTCCGCTTCGAGAAGCCCATGCATTTGCCAGTCCTGTAGATCAGGTAATAGAAGACCTCCGATTGCACGAGCCTGTGTAGATTTGAGTCTCATAGCTCGAAGTTCTCTGGCTGTTAGCCCAGAGCGCTTCTTCCCCACTAACTGAAGCAGATGCGGCTCAAGCTGGCAGGGTAGATATCGATGGTATAACAGAGCAATAACATCGGCAAAATGCACTTCGTGGCCAAGAGATAAGGCCAATTCTGAGGCTCGCCTGTTCGGCCCTCCAATGAAATAGACTGGTGATAGAAGAGGCGCCGGAAGGGCGAGACAGTCGACGCCTGGCGAAGGGAATCGACGTATGCCAGAATATGTCCTCTGCTTGCCATGAGCACTGCGTCTGCCTTTCTTATGACGGCTCTTTTTGGCTGAGTAGGCCATTGCGTGGGACGTTTTCTTCACGGTCTTGCTGGCGTTATGTCCAGATGTTGGGAACAGTGAGGTAGAGAACCTAGTTGTGTGACCAAACGGTGACCCCCCGGCTAAAATATCATTGGTGCTAGGAAGGCCCCGCTGGAAGCTTCCGACTTGGATATAGTGAGAATACATCTGTGAATTCGTCGAAGCTGAATTATGGTTTAGTGTGCGGATAGAAGCGGAATGCTGCGGAAGTTGAATTGCCTTGCCTGTTTGCCAACCCGAAGTCCCAGCTGTTAAGAATTTGGTATAGGCAGCTTGCGAGAGAGCAACACCAGTGACGCCGGAAGATTGGTACTCCCCATAGTCATCGCCAAACGACGAGGATCCGTAAGGCCATGCATATTGTGGGACGCCATGATTTATGTCAGACGATTTAGAAAGACTGGTACCAGATGGAGCCATTCCAACTAAAAAGATAGGAGGCTTTCCTTGGCCGGAACTAAATGGGTAGACAGGACTTGACAAATTTGTCTGTAAGTGGGAAGTTATGGAATACAAGTGGTCATCAAAATAAACAAGATTTAGAATACAGTTTTATATGTGGATGAAATGTATGCACATCAGTAGTTAGACAAAAAGGTTGCTTGCAAAGCTAGGCTTAGCGACTCAAGCGGAATATTATCGTAGTTAGATAGTAGATGTACCTTTTAGAAACGCATAAAGTTTACATGAAAGAAACAACTCGAGTTTAGACAAGTCTTGTAACTAAGCTAAGTGATACAGTTAATGATTAGTAAAAATGGCCCACGAGGACTCCAGTAGCTTGCAGAAGGCCTGGCTTTCTTTTAAAGCCATGTCTACCCTATGATAGACTGGCACTCGTAGCAGTGTAACTTAGCAGTAACAGGTCGAAACTATACGTTTCATTAATTGGGTTCGATTCCCATCGAGGGTAATGATGAAACTAGGGCGAGCTCAAAACTAAAAACTTCAGTGGATAAGAGCACCTTTTGGGAAGTAAGGCTTACTCACGGAAAATAAAACTGTCAGTTCTTCATCTTATACACCATAGGGTGAATATAGTTTCTATTATAGATGTATTTTTGAGACAGATTATAAAATATCTATAAGAGATCACTAAAAAAGATCAAAGGTGAGGCCTTAAAATAGATAAATAGAGGTTAAGAATAAGCTCTAGAGTGGATTTAAATGCGCAAATGGACGAGCACAGGTTGATATCAGAAAAATAAAAATAAAACTCACGTCACCTTAACGAACTAGGGTGAATACATCTCATTTATATTATCTATTGGTAGTCTCTAAAGCCTACTTATAATCGAAAAATAAGCAATGTGCTCGATTGCTGTATTAAATACAACGTTGCTTCATCGACAATTCCACCACAGAATATGATATAGAAAAATTCCTGGCCTTCCTTTAAGCTCGCATCTATCCTGTGACCCAAGGGTACTCGTGGTGGTGTGGCGTAGTGGTTAACATGCAAAGACAATACCATGCACTATCACGGTTTGAGTCCTGCTAGGGATGCTGAGGAAACCTAGACGAGGCCGAAATTGCAGTTCATTAAATCTTGAATAAGAATACCATTTAGGAATTAAAGATATGCGGAATCCAATAGAAATATGAAGCCTATTTATATCATTATAGGAAAATTTAACTACCAGTCATCTTGTCACCTTAAACGAAATAGAGTGAATACATCTCGTATATAGGTTCTACTGGTTGTCTCGGAAAGTATAATAGAAAAATAACTCACATTGTTTGTGTCATGAATCTGGCGCTTATGCCGGGAAAGACAAGAAAGTGCCTGTCTGAGGCCTCCAGAAGCACAGTCGGTGGTACTAGGAGCAGGTTCCTGTACAAGTGCGTGCCGCCAAGTGGCCAAACAGTTGGCACCTGTCTGGCTCCAAGCTGATGAGCGCAGATCAAACAGATAAGACTCTGAAAGCACGTCTGCATTTAATCCGTAGCTGTGGAGGGAAAAAAGGGATCCAGTTCGGAGGATTAGAAATAAGCCTACAAACATCAAGTAAAGTAAAGCAAACAGATAACATGGTATAATAAACTAGGTTGCCTACAATATTTTCCGTGGATTCTGTGTATATAATTTAGAAGATGCTTCGTTACGTTTTTTTCATTCAGCCAAGTAAGATTGCTTGTAATCTAACATCTACCTTACAGTAAGTGAATTGCATTTGCCCTCCTACTATGAAATTATAGGTAAGTGGAATGAAACAAAAATAAAAACATAATTGATCAAAAATATGAAGACCAAGATGGTGCAGCCTTTTGTGTGGTCGCAGTCTCCTTTCGTTGTATAGAAGTTGTTTGACCTTGTTTTCACAACTTGGTCATGGTGGTAGGAAGACTTATAGAAACGCACCTTGTCCTGACTCCATTGTATGCATAATTATTTCCAG